GGGGGGGGGGGGGGGGGGGCGACAGGAACAGCCGAGCGATGGGCGGCCAGATGCGGGGAACAAGAAAGAGCTGAAGTCAAGAGAGACCCAGAGAAAGGGGGAGGGAGAGGAAGGGGGGGTGCCATGGGGCAGGGCAGGTGGCTGGCTGGAGCAGGCGACTCTGTGCCCAGGTGAGGCCCAGCCAGCCCCATGGTCGGGAGGAGCCGGAGGCAGAATCCCCAGCCAGGCTCAGAACCTGCTGCCTGAGCCGTGCCAGGGTCTCCGAGCCAACCGGCTCCACCCACTGAACCCCATTCCCCGCCCAGAGCTGGAGAGAGAGCCCAGGAGTCCTGGCTCCCAGCCCCCCCGCTCTAACCACTAGCCCCCCTCCCCGCCCAGAGCTGGGGAGAGAACCCAGGAGTCCGGGTTGGGCTGATATTTCTGTTGTTCATTCTCCTCTCCTCCTGTCTATTGCTCCATTCCCCACCCCCACCACCACCTTGCTTTAAATCTACCTGCTGGGGGCAGGGGGCAGGTCAGGGGCTAGACAAACCCAGGAGGAACAGGCCCGCTGCCTGCTAAAGCCAAAATGACAGCATGGGGCAAACCGCCTCAGGGGACGTTCGTGCCCGGTCCCCGGTTACCCCCTGCGGGAGTCCCTGTCCCCCCCGGAGCACCACAAGGGCTTCCCAAAATGCCCTGCACCCACCAGCGGCGACTCGCCTGGCCAGGTCACTCCCCACGGGGAGGGCAGTGTGGGCGCGCACCGGGAGCATCGGAACAGGGGGCCATGGCCCCCCACTTTTTACTGCCACAAGGGCAAGTGACAGGGGGAGGGGACGGAGAGGAGTGAGTGGAGGGAGTCTCGGGGGGGTGGCAGGGCGCAGGGTCCCCTCCCCCCACTTTTAGCGCCCAGCCACCGCTCCTGACGTGCACAGCCGGCTCCGCCGCGCACCACTGTGAGCGGGCTCCACTTCATTTTGCAGTGTAGACGCGCCGTTAAACCGGAGCGGTTGCTTTATGCAGGCGACTCTGCGGGGCAGGGCGGGGGGAGGGGGCTGGTTCCTGGGGAAAGCCCATCGCCTTTGCTGAAGGGAGGGATTTACTCACATACCCACAGGCGGCCCTCGGAGCTGGGCGACCGGCCAGCAGCCGCTGCTCGCCCAGCGTGAGCCCCAGCACAAACGAAGCACTGTGGGGAGGGGCGATGGGCCCGGGGGAGGGCACCAGGGCCAGGGGCATTTTCCCTGAGACCAGCCCGGGGTGGGGGGGGCGCTCTGGCTTCTTCCTCTCCCTGCGGTTTGGTTTGTCTCTGCGGGCGAGTCACGGACATTTCGGCAGGAAGTTTTTCCAAGGCAAACGCCCTGGATCCGGGCCTGGCCAGGTCCCCGCGGCCAGACGGCTGCCCCGGGGCGGCACTAAGGGGTACCGTGCTGCAGCGAGCGGGGCTGGGGTCTCAGCAGGGGGCGCTGTGCTGCAGGGAGCGGGGCAGGGGTCCAATAGGGGGCACTGTGCTGCAGGGGGGGCCCTGCAGGGGGGCCCAGCAGGGGGCGCTCTCCCCCAGCAGTCAGTGCCAACCCCCGGTGGCAATTTTCCGAGCCAAGCAGAGATTTCCTGGTGCCAACGTTCCCTGGGCGCAAAGAGACATTTTCCCTGGCCCAGCAATGGCCATTTTTCAGCTGGTCCCTCGTTTTCCTTCCTTCGTCTGCGTCTCTGGCACTGTTTATTTCTCGCGCCCGTGGCTGGCGATGGGCCCGCTGAACCCAGCAGGGGTACGCTCGCCCCAGCAGGGCCGCCTTACACTGCCTTGCTTTCTTGCCTTTCTTCTTGGGGTCTTTTTTCCTAGTTCATTCATTCCTTCTTCCTCCCTCTCTCATGTTTCAGGGCAGCCCCCTTTCTTTCTTTCTTTCCCAGCCCCTCTGTCAAGCCGCCCGTCCTGCCCGCCCCGTGGCTGGAAGAACCAGGTCGCTCTCTGCAGCTCAGACAGAAGCCAGGAGCATGCGCCCCCCGCCAGGGGCCGGCCCGGCTCAGCCCCACATACCGACCTAGCAGGGTGCATGGAATGCGGACAGAGCAGACGGCGCAGGCCAGACACACACACACCCGCCCGCCAGCCGCGCACGCACCCGCGCCAGCCAGGGCGCCGCCAGACGCCGACCCCGCCGGACCCCGGGCAGCAGGGGGCACAAGGCCAGCGACGGGGCGATCAGACCCCCCTGGCCCTTCCGGCACAGCTTGGGACTTGGAGTGTCGGACGAGAGCGCACCGGACAAAGCCATGGACTGAGAGAGAGACGGGATAGATAGATAGATAGATAGATAGATAGATAGATAGATAGAGGGGGTGTCTGGGGATAGATAGATAGATGTGGTGGATGGGGATAGATAGACAGGGGGACTCTGGGGACAGACAGACAGACAGGGGGCTCTGGGGGACGGATGGCTAGCCAGACAGACTCTGCCGGCCGAGTGACATCTCCACTCCTGCCGTCGGTGGAAGCCCCTGGATCCAGCCCCCCAGCCATGGACCCCCACTCCAACCTGTCATCCCCCTCCAACGGCTCGCTGGTGGGTGGGCTGCCGGAGGCGGTGGGGCTGAGCCTGCTGGGGGCGGCCGGGGCGGCAGGGAACCTGTACACGCTGGCGGTGGCACGGGCCGGGGCCGTCCCCTCCCCGCTCCACGTCCACATCGTCCACCTGGCGCTGGCCGACCTGCTGTACCTGGCCGGGGTGCCCTTCGTCGTGCACAACGGGCTGGCGCGGGACTGGCACTTCGGCGAGGCCGGCTGCCGGGCCCTGCTCAGCCTGGACCTGCTCACTATGCACGCCAGTATCTTCCTGCTCACCCTGCTGAGCACCGAGCGGTGCCGGGCCGTGCGGCGCCCCTTCCGGGCCGCCCGCCGCTCCCCCGGCCGCCGCCGGGCCCTGGCCGGGGCCGCCTGGGCCGCCGCCTTCGTCCTGGCGCTGCCCATGATGCTGATGGTGCGGCAGGAGGAGCGGGCGGCGGGCGACGGCCGGGTGCGGCGGCTCTGCGTGCCCACCTGGCACGAGGCCCAGTACAAAACCTACCTGACCGTGCTCTTCGGCACCAGCATGGTGGGGCCCGGGCTGGCGCTCGGGTACCTCTACGGGCGGCTGGCCCGGGCCTACTGGCTCTCGCAGACCCGGGGGGTGCTGGGCCCCCGGCGGGGGCCGAAGCAGCGGGTCTTCCTCCTCATTTTCCTCATCGTCGTGGCCTTCTGGGCCTGCTTCCTGCCCTTCTGGCTCTGGCAACTGGTGCCTCTCTACAGCCCGGGCACGGCCGCCCGCCTGCCCGTGGCCACCGAGATCTACATCAACCACCTGGTCACCTGCCTGACCTACAGCAACAGCTGCATCAACCCCTTCCTCTACACGCTGCTGACCCGCAGCTACCGCAACTACCGACGGGCGCGACGGGCCGGGCGCAGGGCGGTGCCGCGGGCACAGGATGCGGGGCGCTGAGCAGCCAACAGACCTCCACAGGTAGGGGGGAGTGGGGCAGTGTGGGACAGGGGCAGTGCTGGGGGAATATCGCAGCGCTGGGGAGAGGAGCCGTGGGGCACTGCTGGGAGAAGATTGCAGCGCTGGGGAGAGGTGCCGCAGGGCACTGCTGGGGGAAGATAGCAGCGCCGGGGTGAGGTGCTGCAAGGCACTGTTGGGGGAAGATCACAGCATTGGGGAAAGGTGCCATGGGGCACTGCTGGGGGAAGATCGCAGCATTGGGGAGAGGTGCCGTGGGGCACTGCTGGGAGAAGTTCGCAGCATTCGGGAGAGTTGCCGCGGGGCACTGCTGGGGGAAGATGATAGGGGCTAATTTAGCTACAACTAATCAGGAAAGAGATCTTGGAGTCATCGTGGATAGTTCTCTGAAGACGTCCACGCAGTGTGCAGCGTCGGTCAAAAAAGCAAACGGGATGTTAGGAATCATTCAAAAAGGGATAGAGAAAAAGACGGAGAATATCTTATTGCCCTTATATAAATCCATAGTACACCCACATCTTGAATCCTGCGTACAGATGTGGTCTCCTCATCTCAAAAGAGATATACTGGCACTAGAAAAGGTTCAGAAAAGGGCAACTAAAATGATTAAGGGTTTGGAACGGGTCCCATATGAGGAGAGATTAAAGAGGCTAGGACTCTTCAGCTTGGAAAAGAGGAGACTAAGGGGGGATATGATGGAGGTCTATAAAATCATGAGTGATGTGGAGAAAGTGGATAAGGAAAAGTTATTTACTTGTTCCCATAATACAAGAACTAGGGGTCACCAAATGAAATGAATAGGCAGCAGGTTTAAAACAAATACAAGGAAGTTCTTCTTCACGCAGCGCACAGTCAACTTGTGGAACTCCTTACCTGAGGAGGTTGTGAAGGCTAGGACTAGAACAGCGTTTAAAAGAGAACTGGATAAATTCATGGTGGTTAAGTCCATGAATGGCTATTAGCCAGGATGGGTAAGGAATGGTGTCCCTAGCCTCTGTTTGTCAGAGGGTGGAGATGGATGGCAGGAGAGAGCTCACTTGATCATTACCTGTTAGGTTCACTTCCCCTGGGCCCTGGCATTGGCCACTGTCAGGAGACAGGACACTGGGCTAGATGGACCTTTGCTCTGACCCAGTCTGGCTGTTCTTATGTTTATTGGGGAGAGGTGCCGCGGGGCACGGCTGGGGGAAGATCGCAGCGCTGGGGTGAGGTGCCGTGGGGCACTGCTGGGGGAAGATTGCAGTGCTGGGGTGAGGTGCCAGGGGCACTGCTGGGGGAAGATCGCAGTGCTGGGGAGAGGTGCCGTGGGGCACTGCTGGGGGAAGATCGCAGCGCTGGGGATAGGTGCCACAGGGCACTGCTAGGGGAAGATTGCAGCGCTGGGGAGAGATGCCGCAGGGCCCTGCTGGGGGAAGATCGCAGTGTTTCTGTGAGGTGCCACAGGGCACAGCTGGGGGGAAGATCGCAGCGCTGGAGAGGTGCCGCGGGGAACTGCTGGGGGGAAGATCACAGCGCTGGGGAGAGGTGCCGGGGGCACTGCTGAGGGAAGATCGCAGCGCTGGAGAGGTGCC